GAGTGCTTGTTGATGGTCCACCCAGGAGCACAGCTGAAGCAGGGAGATGAGGTCTGCATACAGGTGGCGCCTGTGCGAGGGATGCAAGCCCTTCCGGGAATAGAGGATTACTGGATAGCGGTTCAAGCCAAGGTCAGGTGCCAGGTGGGAATCAGAGCAGACGTAGTCAGATGGGATAGCCGAGGTCATACACAGAGGAGCGAGAGAGAGAGTATCCGTAAGCCAAGCCGAGGTCAGATCAGGGGGTAAAGCAGAGTAGACAGGTCCAAGAGCAAGCTGAGTTGGTATCAGGAAATCACAGGTCACAATCACAGGAACCAACAGGGCACGAGGAGCTAGAGATCATCCAGCAACTTGAGGAAGTGAAGAGCCTCCTTACAAAGGCCGTTTGGCGCCAAAACTAGGCCTGATGCGTGCGCAACTATGCGCCAGTGCGCATGCATGGGACGGATCGCGTCTGTGCGCCAATGCACATGGATCTTCACCACCGTGTATTTCCGCAGCCATGTAGGGTACTGGCGGAAATGCCCGGTCTTCCAGGAACTTCTGCCATGGACAGGACCCTGACACCTTAATCCCATTGAGAACTTGTTTTCAATCATCAAGAGGCGGGGGAACAAAAAAACACACAAATCCTGACAAACTCCAAGCATTGATTATGCAAGAATGGGCGGCCATCAGTCTGGATGTGGCCTAGAAGTTGATTGACAGCACGCCGGGGAGAATCACAGAGGTCATGAAGAAGAAGAGTCAACACTTCGACATACTACAACTACCTTCCGTCTTCAATGAACATTAATTATGAGTCAGTTAACCAGAGTCTTGTATAATGGGATGACCACATTAAACCAGCATTGCCGGATCCAAGACTGGAGAATAAACTCTCCAACCAGGACGTAGTCCACCATGAATAGGCAGCATCAACACTTTGAATATTGACTCTTTGCATAATCTTCATGTCATGGTCAATAAAAGCCTTTGACGCTTACACAATGCTTGTGATTACACCTCAGTATACCAGAGGAACATCTGACAAAAAGACCTAAAAACACAGAAGCGTCAGACTTTGCGAAAATTAATATTGGTGTCATTCTCAGAACTTTTGGCCAGGGCCGTAACAAAGTGAATTTTGGAATTCCAGAAGGAGATTATGGAGAACGTAAGACTCACAAGGAACAAACTCCACCAGGTATTCCCACCACTGCCGCAGCGTGGAGTCCCCAAACATGTACACCACTTTCCCCTTCAGACAGGACGTGACGTTGGCAGGCGTGGGGAACTCCTGGTTCCTGCAGACGCGGGAATTCCATTTGTCCTGGTAATAGAACCCTGACGGCTCTGGATTTGATAAGCCGGGTCTGCAGATACCTTTGACGTCTGAAACAACAAATTATATCAATAGTATGAATAATTATTATTGTGACTAAAGAGGCAATGCATACAAAATGTTTTGGGGTTTTTTTTGTGGATGCTGGGGGGGGAGGGGAGGGTGTCATTGCACAGTGCAATTCAGGTGGGAGATGGAAAGGGGCTCCGCATGGGTTACCTATGACCAGTCCCAATGCAACGGCATCACATGGTGCAAGGACACACCTGTTTTCAAGCATTAAAAAAGAGAAAGGAGAACGTTTCCACCAACCCACCTGCTGGTAGCAGTGGCACTCTCTGTTCCTGCTCTGCAGTTTGTCGGTGCTGCTACAGACATGTAGGCAGGTGGAGTCTACAATCTCCACAGCAGGTGGCGCTCATCCATCGCAGCAATGCCACTGGAGGAGGAAGACGGGAGAAACTGGGCTTCTCTATGGTGGGGTCTCCATACTTTTCAAACACAGGGCAGGTTTATGGTCCTTCAGACTTTATGGGGGCCAGATTGTGGCCAGTGCATCCCGGGCCCAGCATCAACGTGAATTATGGCCTTAGGGTTTGCGGTCAGTAGGAGGCGTAGTTAGGGTGGCCATCCTAGTCGCAGTAATGTCCCATCATTGGTATCAGTGGGAGGAATAGTGCCCCATTGTTGGTGTCAGTGGGAGGAATAGTGCCCCATCATTGGTATCAGTGGGAGGAATAGTGCCCCATCATTGGTGTCAGTGGGAGGAATAGTGCCCCATCATTGGTGTCAGTGGGAGGCATAGTGTCCCATCATTGATATCAGTGGGAGGAATAGTTCCCCATCATTGGTGTCAGTGGGAGGAATAGTGTCCCATCATTGGTGTCAGTGGGAGGAATAGTGTCCCATCATTGGTGTCAGTGGGAGGAATAGTGCCCCATCATTGGTGTTAGTGGGAGGAATAGCACCCCATCATTGGTGTCAGTGGGAGGAATAGCACCCCATCATTGGTGTCAGTGGGAGGAACAGCACCCCATCATTGGTGTCAGTGGGAGGAATAGCGCCCCATCATTGGTATTAGTAGGAGGAATAGTGCCCCATCATTGGTATTAGTGGGAGGAATAGTGCCCCGTCATTGGTATCAGTGGGAGGAATAGTGCCCCATCATTGGTGTCAGTGGGGTGAAATAGTGCCCCATCATTGGTGTCAGTGGGAGGAATAGTGCCCCATCATTGGTGTCAGTGGGAGGAATAGTGCCCCATCATTGGTGTCAGTTGGGAGGCATAGTGTCCCATCATTGATATCAGTGGGAGGAATAGTGCCCCATCATTGGTGTCAGTGGGAGGAATAGTGTCCCATCATTGGTGTCAGTGGGAGGAATAGTGTCCCATCATTGGTGTCAGTGGGAGGAATAGTGCCCCATCATTGGTGTTAGTGGGAGGAATAGCACCCCATCATTGGTGTCAGTGGGAGGAATAGCACCCCATCATTGGTGTCAGTGGGAGGAACAGCACCCCATCATTGGTGTCAGTGGAAGCCCATCATTGGTATTTAGTAGAATAGTGCCCCATCATTGGTATTAGTAGAGGAATAGGATTGGTAATAGTGCCCCATCATTGGTATAGTGGAAGGAATAGTGCCCCCATCATTGGTATCAGTGGGAGGAATAGTGCCCCATCATTGGTATCAGTGGGAGGAATAGTGCCCCGTATTGGTATCAGTGGGGAGGAATATACCTATACCCCCATCATTGGTATCAGTGGGAGGAATAGTGCCCCATCATTGGTGTCAGTGGGTGAAATAGTACCCCATCATTGGTGTCAGTGGGAGGAATAGTGCCCCCATCATTGGTGTAGTGGCAGAAAAGTGCCCCATCATTGTATCAGTGGGAGGAGTAGTGCAGAAAATTGGTATCAGTGCCCCATCATTGGTATCAGTGGGAGGAATAGTGCCCCATCATTGGTATCAGTGGGAGGAATAGTGCCCCATCATTGGTGTCAGGAAATAGTGCCCCATCATTGGTGTCAGTGGGAGGAATAGTGTTGTAGGCAGAAAAGTGCCCCATCATTGGTGTCAGTGGGAGGAATAGTGCCCCATCATTGGTGTCAGTGGGAGGAATAGTGCCCCATCATTGGGAGGAATAGTGTCCCATCATTGGTGTCGGGAGGAGTGGTAATGGGAGTGCCCCATCATTGGTGTCAGTGGGTGGGAGGAATAGTGCCCCATCATTGGTGTCAGTGGGCAGAATAGTGCCCCATCATTGGTATTAGTGGGAGGAATTATGCCATATTGTTGGTGTCAGTGGGAGGAATGCTGCCTGATAACATTGGGAGGAAAAGTGCTCCAAGGACCACATATACACTAGCATAGGGCCACATCAGTTTGGAGACCATTGCTCTACGGTTTCCTCTGTCCCCTGAAGCAGTGATCCAGATGGATACACAGGATCCAGGTGACCCAGGCAGCCATCTTGGGTCATGCAGAGTCTTTATGAGCCTCTCCCCCGGGGTTTTAGCACACATTTTGGGAGTGGTTAGTGTGTAGGGACAGGATCCCCATCTGTCAGGGACAGCACTATTGGTAGGGAGACGTCCTGGAGGAGTAGGAAGAGTAGGGCCTACATCTGCCTTGTCAGGAAGCTCCTCTTTGGGTTGGACCAGCCAGGACTCACTCTGCTCTCACTGACAGGCGCTGATGGCAGCTCAGGCCTACACACCGCTGACTCCATTCTGAACTGTTGTAAGTGTCCCGGTCCGGTGAGCCTTTCCGCCAGGCTTGTTTATATGGTTTTTCAGGTTCCGCAATACATTGGTATCTGGCAATTCGGGAGTTTCTGCCACCACACCGTGTGTCACCTACCCAACCGGCAGACAGCAGGAGAGGAACTGGCACCCTGTGCCTATAAGGGAGAGGTCAGAGATGCTGACCCCCCTCCCCCCTCTTCAGCATCAATGATGGGAAGCAGTTGGTTTTCTCCGCATGGTGTCTTGACTACTGTCTTCCCAGACTAAAAACTAACAATCTTTGGCCAGCCTTAGGCTTTGGTGATGGCCCCTCGTCTGTCCATCTGACTCCATCTATTCCTAAAACATTATGTTTACATTTTTTTTACCCCTTTAATTGTATGTCCACTGATGTACACTATATTGCCCCAAGTATTGGTCCGCCGGCCTTTCCACGCACATGACCTTTAATGGCCCCCCAGTCAGTCTTAGTCCGTAGGGTTGAATATTGAGTTGGCCCCGCCCTTTCCATGCACATGACCTTCCATGGCCTCCCAGTCTTAGTTTGTAGGGTTCAATATTGAGTTGGCCCCGCCCTTTGCAGCTATAACAGCTTCAACTCTTCTGGGAAGGCCGTCCACAAGGTTTAGGAGGGTGTCTATGGGAAGGTTGGACCATTCTTCCAGAAGCACATTTGTCAGGTCAGGCACTGATGTCGGGGGAGGAGGCCTGGCTCGCAGTCTCCGCTCTAATTCATCCCAAAGGTGTTCTATGGGGTTGATGTCAGGACTCTGTGCAGGACAGTCAAGTTCCTCTACCCCAAACTGGCTCCTCCATGTCTTTATGCACCTTGCTTTGTGCACTGGTGCGCAGTCATGTTGGAACAGGAAGGGGCCGTCCCCAAACTCTTCCCTCAAAGTTGGGAATATGAAATTGTCCAAAATGTCGCCTTAAGAGTTCCCTTCACTGGAACTAGGGGGCCAAGCCCAACCCCTGAAAAACAGCCCCACACCATGATCCCCCCTCCACCAAACTTGGCACAATGCAGTCAGGAAAGTACCGTTCCCCTGGCAACCGCCAAACCCAGACATGTCCATCAGATTGCCAGACAGAAAAGAGTGATTGGTCACTCCAGAGAACACACCTTCCCTGCTCTAGAGTCCAGTGGCGGCGTGCTTTACACCACTGCATCCGACGCTTAGCATTGCACTTGGTGATGGAAGGCTTGGATGCAGCTGCTCGGCCATGGAAACCCATTCCATGAAGCTCTCTACGCACTGTTGTTGGGCTCATCTGAAGGCCACACCAAGTTTGGAGGTCTTTAACTATTGACTCTGCAGACAATTGATGACTTCTGCGCACTGTGCGCTTCAGCATGCGCTGACCCCGCCCTGTCATGTGACGTGGCCTACCACTTGGTGGCTGAGTGGCTGTTGTTCCCAGTGGCTTCCACTTTCTTATAATCCCACTAACAGTTGAGCGTGGAATATTTTGTAGCCAGGAAATGTCACGGATGGACTTATTGCACAGGTGACCACCTATCACGGGACCACGCTTGGAGTCACTGAGCTCCTGAGAGCGACCCATTCTTTCACCAATGTTTGTAGAAGCAGTCTGCATGCCTAGGGGCTTGATTGTATACACCTGTGTCCATGGGGGGGATTGGAACACCTGAATCACATGATTGGGAGGGGATTGGAACACCTAAATCACATGATTGGGAGGGGATTGGAACACCTGAATCACATGATTGGGAGGGCGGGGCCAATACTTTTGGCAATATAGTGTATTTATAGAAATTGGAGCACAAGGGGATCTGTTCCCTACTGCAAACATTTCAATTAATTAATTCAAAAGAAATAAGAATTCTGATTGGTCGCTCTGGTGTTGCTCCACTCTCAGAAGTCTGCTCTTTGTTGGGTAGGGAGTCCTGGTCTTACCTGTGGTGTTCTCCTGGGGCTGGACTACAAGACCTGGGAGGGATGATGAAATCACCTGATTGGACACAGAGCTGTCAGAAAAGAAAATAGGAGGCGGATTAAAAAACCTAAACCTTAGAACCAGCTTGCCAAATATTTGATCTTTAACCCAACTCAACGGAGATTGATCGACCTTTAACCGAATGTAACCCGAGATCGGTGTGATCAGATGCCTTCACAAGCTTGTATACATGAGACCGGAACCGGAAGTGACAACATCCTCGTCTCTTCCAGTTTCTGACATCATACTGTGGGAGGAATGACATCACTTCCTCTCACTCTGTGCCCGGGAGCCGATGCTGCTGGTCACATCCTTACCGAGTTTCCTGATTGGACGGGAGAAGCCCGGTAAAGGCAGAGGCGGGAGGAGGAGGAACCTCATTCCACCGCCTGTACAAGTGATCCAGCGGCTGTATAGCTGCCAGGATTACTTTTATGTGATGGGGAATCCCAATAGAGGAGTGCAGAGACTTCTGGGAATTGTATGCTGAAAGCTTTCCTTACAGTTAATGTGCAGAACAAAAACATTTGTTTAGTTTCATTTTGATTCGTTAAATACATAATTTTGTCTAATTTGTTTTCGGAATTCATTTAATTTTCGAATTCGATTTGATTCTAATTCGATTCGACCAAATTGGCATTCAAATTTTAATTTAATCTATTTGAAATTTGAAAGATAGTTAAAGTCTTTCTATTTAATTCTATTGTTTTTTTTCTATTCTTTCTATTTCTTAGTTTCTATTCTATTCGAATTTATTCTATTCAAAAGATGGATACATTCTATTTTATTAGTTTTATTCTATTCTCCTATTTCTATTCTAATCTATTTGAATTTATTCTGTTTGAAATTTGAATGTAGGAAGACGGTTATATTCTATTTTATTCTATAGGGTCATGTGACCGCCGTGATTGGCCTTCATGGCAGTCACATGATCAGAAAGGTCACAATCGCAAGGAAAGACCGGGACCTTTCCGTGGGAAGCCGGCATATGTGCTGGGAGCGCGCTCTCAGCGCATGTTTGTTTATAAACGGTATGCAAATATTGAATCGCTCTGCGTCATGGCCCAGCCCCCGAGAGGCCGCATCTTTGTGTACGTTCGGCGTGAAGAGTTTACTACAGCCTAATCATTTACTTTATATCCGTGTGTACCAGGGCTCAGAGAATAGGAACTCCCCTTTTCTGCATCACCCCTGTCTCCACCCCCTACCCACCTCCTAACACCACCCCTTGATTCCACCTCCTACCCACCTCCTAGCACCACCCCTTGATTCCACCCCCTACCCACCTCCTAACACCCCCTTGATTCCACCTCCTACCCACCTCCTAGCACCACCCCTTGATTCCACCCCCTACCCACCTCCTAGCACCATCCCTTGGTTCCATCCCCCTACCTACCTCCTAGCACCATCCCTTGATTCCAACCCCTACCCACCTCTAAGCACCACCCCTTGATTCCAACCCCCTACCCACCTCCAAGCACCACCCCTTGGTTCCACCCCCTACCCTAACCCACCCTCCAAGCACCATCCCTTGATTCCAACCCCTACCCACCTCCAAGCACCACCCTTTATTCCAACCCCTACCCACCTCCAAGCACCACCCCTTTATTCCAACCCCTACCCACCTCTAAGCACCACCCTTGGTTCCACCCCCTACCCACCTCCAAGCACCATCCCTTGATTCCAACCCCTACCCACCTCCAAGCACCATCCCTTGATTCAAAATCCTACCCAGGAGGAATAGTGCCCCATCATTGGTGTCAGTGGGAGGAATAGTGCCCCATCATTGGTGTCAGTGGGAGGAATAGTGCCCCATCATTGGTGTCAGTGGGAGGAATAGTGCCCCATCATTGGTATCAGTGGGAGGAATAGTGCCCCATCATTGGTATCAGTGGGAGGAATAGTGCCCCATCATTGGTGTCAGTGGGAGGAATAGTGTCTCATCATTGGTATCAGTGGAAGGAATAGTGCCCCATCATTGGTGTCAGTGGGAGGAATAGTGCCCCATCATTGGTGTCAGTGGGAGGAATAGAACCCCATCATTGGTATCAGTGGGAGGAATAGTGCCCTATCATTGGTATCAGTGGGAGGAATAGTGCCCCACCATTGGTGTCAGTGGGAGGCATAGTGCCCCATCATTGGTGTCAGTGGGAGGAATAGTGCCCCATTATTGGTGTCAGTGGGAGGAATAGTGCCCTATCATTGGTGTCAGTGAAAGGAATAGTGTCCCATCATTGGTGTCAGTGGGAGGAATAGTGCCCCATCATTGGTGTCAGTGGGAGGAATAGTGCCCCATCATTGGTATCAGTGGGAGGAATAGTACCCCATCATTGGTGTCAGTGGGAGGAATAGTGCCCCATCATTGGTGTCAGTGGGAGGAATAGTGCCCCATCATTGGTGTCAGTGGGAGGAATAGTGCCTGATAGTTGGAGTTATTGGGAAAATTAATTCCCCATCATTGGTGTCAGTGGAAGGGCCAGATAAAGGCTAGCAAAGGCCCACATATGGCCCACGGGCTGCAGTTTGGAAACCCCTGATAAGGTGCCACAACCTCTCTAACCAGCTACCTACCTGTGTAGAATCTCTTGCTCAGCAGAGGTCAGTACTTTGTGATCACCACCGCCGGAATGCTCAAGGTACGCGCTGCAGGGAAAACCTTGCGGACGCACACAGTACCACTCCTCCCCTGTACGTGAATCCCGGTAAGTACACACGTCTTGTCCAGGGGGCTGCACATTACACTCCACCGTGGCATCTCTCCCTTTATGGTGGAAATATCCGAAGTAAAACACCTGAGCATTGAAAAAAACGGGAATTTAGTGACACCGAACATTCTGGGCAGATTCCAAATCTTCATCACGCTGGCACAGTATATACGCGGCTGTAATATGATTTCTAATATTTGATGTTATATTATTAATAAGTCAAAATCGACACATGCAGTTTGGTCGCACGCAGCGCTTGCAGTTCCCCGGGTTCACACCTATGCGTTTTCGGCAGCGTTTTGCAGAAACGCAGTACGGTCCATTTAACATGATTTCCTATGGGACGGGTTCAAATCTCCGCGTTTTTGCCCGGTGCGTTTTTTTGGAAAGGGTCGGGGACTTTTTTGAATGCAAAAAATTGCGTTTTTGGTTCTACGGACTTCAATGGAGAAGCTGATGAAAAGTTTGTATTGAGTTTTTGATGCGTTTTGCGTTTAAAATCTGCCTAGCAACAAGAAAAATTAAAAAAAAAAAAAAAAGGCAAAATGTATCAAAAATGCAAAACGCAATGCAGAAATGCCTCAAACGCAACCTGCATAGGTGTGGACCTAGGGTTACCACCCCCCATTTCCCCCCCACACACCCATCCCCCCCCCCCCCCCACACACACACACACACACACCAGATTTTACTAACGCTCTGTGTATTAAAAATGAATTCCATGTATTTACTCTCTCGGCATTGCAGACGCGATAATGGGGCTGATTTACTAAAGGCAAATAGGCTGTGCACTCTGCAGGTGTTCTTCAAGTGCAGTTGCTTTGGATCCGAGGGGAAGCTCTGCTGATTTCTTTTATCCAATCACGTGCAAGCAAAAATTATTTTTTTGATTTTCCATGCATGTTCCCCTCAGTTCTTCCAAGTGCAGCCTATCTGCCTTTAGTAAGTCAACCCCCAATGTGTGCTCAGTCCAACGGCATCATGTCCACTTGTGTGGGGGGGGTGTACAATGGATCAACCGCCTGTTCTTACCTTCCCCCCATGTGAAAGGAGCGTTACTGGTATTAGCATGTTTGGTAAAAACAAAGGGGGGCATGGGTAGCTGGGCCCTGCTATGGGGGGCATGTTCTAATGCAGGGGGCCTCCGAACTTTCTAAACAAAGGGCAAGTTTACTATCCTTCAGATTTAAAGTGTTACTAAACCCCGGACCCCGCATTCACTATATCCGCTCTCCCCAGACCCCGCATTCATTATATCCGCTCTCCCCGGACCCCGCATTCACTATATCCGCTCTCCCCGGACCCCGCATTCACTATATCCGCTCTCCCCAGACCCCGCATTCACTATATCCGCTCTCCCCGGACCCCGCATTCATTATATCCGCTCTCCCCGGACCCCGCATTCACTATATCTGCTCTCCTCGGGCCCTGCATTCACTATATCCGCTCTCCCCGGACCCCACATTCACTATATCCGCTCTCCCCGGACCCCGCATTCATTATATCCGCTCTCCCCGGACCCCGAATTCACTATATCCGCCCTCCCCTGGACCCCGCATTCACTATATCCGCTCTCCCCGGACCCCGCATTCACTATATCCGCTCTCCCCGGACCCCGCATTCACTATATCCTCTCTCCCCGGACCCTGCATTCACTATATCCGCTCTCCCTGGACCCCGCATTCCTACATTCCCGGACCCCGCTCACTATATCCGCTCTCCCCGGACCCCGCATTCACTATATCCGCTCTCCCCGGACCCCGCATTCACTATATCCGCTCTCCCCGGACCCCGCATTCACTATATCCGCTCTCCCCGGACCCCGCATTCACTATATCCGCTCTCCCCGGACCGCGCATTCACTATATCCGCACTCCCCGGACCCTGCATTCACTATATCCGCTCTCTCCCAGGACCCCGCATTCACTATATCTGCTCTCCTCGGGCCCTGCATTCACTATATCCGCTCTCCCCGGACCCTGCATTCACTATATCCGCTCTCCCCCGGACCCCACATTCACTATATCCGCTCTCCCCGGACCCCGCATTCACTATATCTGGTCTCCTCGGACCCCGCATTCACTATATCCGCTCTCCCCGGACCCCGCATTCACTATATCCGCTCTCCCCGGACCCTGCATTCACTATATCCGCTCTCCCCGGACCCCACATTCACC